TAGAAATCGCTAAAACTTGCAATGCAAGTAATAGTAATGCAAGATGGAATTCTGCTTCTCAAGAAATAGTATTGAGAAGGCTTTAAAAACGGCAGGTAGCTTTTTGTAAATGATTTCCATGGAATTACAGATGAGAATTTTAAGATTTTACATATTTGCTTCAATTTTTACTAATATGGAGACATGTTTAAAGAGATACTTGAATAATTTGGAATTTTAAGATAATAATTTAGAAGTGTTTACAGAAACATCTTTGTGCAGAGAAGAACCTGAAAGGAGATCTCATTTAGTTTTTTTTTTAAGATTTATTTTTATAATATTTTACTGACTTACCTAATGGTCAGTGGAAGGAAATACATTGGTATCTAATTAAAGTTTAGAGCAGTGAAACACACCAGATTAAAGAGCCCTTGCTGTGCCATCAGAATTATAATTCATGTCATAATTTTAGAAGATCTCTGAGTAAGAAAATATATACAGTGTTTGGACCTCAGGAAAAATTAAAAAGCATAAAGTACCATGTTGCTGAAGGATTTTGCAGTCCTCTCTTAGTAACTTCCATTGATTAGGTGGATGCATTGAGGTAAACCATAGTCCTTATTTTTTCCCCTCAATTAAGTATCTAACATAGAAGTTACTTCTCCTTGCTTTCTGAGATATACCTGAATGACACACTCCTCCCAACCCCTTCAGTCCCCTGCCTTGAAACAGACCACTTGTAAAAGAAATTAGGTAGGCATAAGGAAGTGTGGTTTTTAAGAAAAGGAATTTTTCAATCTTCTCACTAGCATATAGGCACATGTCATTTTCCTCCTTTGTAAAATGGGATTACTACTGGCCCTACCTCATAAGGGTATTATATAAGAACTAATTTGTAGCTCTTTCAAATCATGAAGTACACAGTATCCTAGATGATAGAATATTTATAACTTTTATTAGATGCTTACTGTTCAATTAACTAATTTTGATGCAAAAAGTAAAAGCATCCACTTAAAAAATACCATAAGAATTTTCATATTTTTAAACAAGGCAGTTTTATAAGTCTTTTAAGATTAAATACAACTGCTCCTGTTTTGTTTAGTTTTTAAAATGAGACTTTGGAATATTTTGTGTGAGTAGGTAACATCTAGGAAATCAGAAAAGGTTGAAATATGTTTTCTAACTAAATGCAGTGCACATTCCTGGATCACTTTTCAAAGACTGGTCAAAACCTGCTGTGTTAAAATAACATATGCTGTTTTTCATCAGATTTGTTGATGATGTAAATAAAATGTGTAAATATATTAGTAAATGTTAATATTCATGTATTTTAAGTTAAGCTTATAAGATTTGTCACAATGTGATTTTTTTTTATTCAAGTGAAAACAGATGTGTGCAGCTATTTTGAATATTGGTTTATAAACATTCATATTCTTTATTCAAATGAACTTGTAGTTTTTTGTGTTTTATTTCACTGCTACTAACTTGAAAGGGACATTTCAAGGGACTGGTATCCAGGACTGGCTCCAGAGTCTGTGTCCCTTTCTGTTGTTATGCCACATACATCAAATGGCAATACAAGGTTAGAGTCAGTTGAGAGCCTTAGGAATTTAGGAGAGGAAAATCAGAATAGTTACCCTGGAGCAGTTACTTAAAAGATTAGATATTTAAAAAATTTATAAATGCAGAATAACAATTTGAAGGTGTTTTTGAGGACTTACTTTTATGAATTACCCTTCACTGTCTAAAAAATGTTACATTTTTAGTACTTTCTCTTCATCTTTGCTTCTGCACACATATTGTCACATATTGGAATTCATAGTATCCAGTTGGAGTCTGCTTTTTTTCATTTAATTTTATATGAAATTGTTTTTGCAAGTTGTTTAATTTTTATAATTATGGTTTATAGTAATTTATTTTTATAATTTTATTATAAAATCATCAATCATCATGGCTTCATGATGATTGAATTGATATAACCATCTCCCCTGTTACTATACTGGGAAGTTTTTTTTTTTTTTTTCCCAATATTAGGCACCCTTAAAAATTGAGGTATTACTACTTTTTCTTTCTTTTAGATTACTTATTTAGGATAAATTTCTGAGTCTGAGATGAGTAAAGGGCAGAATTTATTTTCATGACTATGTTTTGTCATTTGGGGACAATGTAGTAAAATTAAAGTGAGGCAAACCAATCAGCTCCCCTCCTGCTGCACCCTCTTGCCGCAAACCTTTCTCCCAAACCAGTTTCTCGAATCTGAGAAAACGTCTCAGGACACTAGTATTTTGGCCAAGTTTAGGCTATACGGAACTCTTTAAAAATAACAATTCAGAGAGATCACGATTAACCTAGTTTTGAGGAAATTTAAGTGTATTTCTTGGCAAAGAAGAATAAACTGGTCTCGGGAGGGACAGAGGTGGCTGAGCCTTAAGAGAGGTAGAAGTCATCTGGTGCTGGAAGACCTCGCGAGCGTTTGTCTGGTTTAATTTGGTATCTGGGAAAGACTTAAATATTATGAGGTCCTGTAGATGGTTGTCATCGAACCTTTTCGCCTGGTTTGGCTCATTCTGGCAATTCCCGCCTCAATCTTTTCGATAGCCTGGCTACTTGTAAGTTCGAATTTGAATTGAGTGGTACTGATGAATGCTCGGAGAACTCGGCAAGGCTTCTACAGACTTTACGAATAGAGACTTCGAATTTCCAAGAAATCTATGCACGGGTTAAATAACCGGTTGCAAAAAGTCAAACGGAGAGAACTCTCCCTTTAAACCCCTAAGATTTGGACGACTAGTTCCCTCTTCGGCTGTTCGCCTTCCGGTGCCGCCAAGTACCTCGGGACCATTCTTATTACGAAGGCTTCCATTGGGTGCCAGAGTTCTCGTCCCCTAGCCTTGCGCCAGGATTGGTTGCTTGATATCTGGTCTTGGCAGGTGATTGGTTGTCTGAGCTCGTCCGGCGATTGGATGCCGGGAGTCGAAGGGGTGGGAGGCGGGAATTCATCCGGGAGAGCGTTGTTGAGAGGACTGATGAAAACTGGAGGGGGAAGGCTGAGCACCCGCGACCCTGCGACCAGGCCCGGGTAGTAGCAGCCCGCTGAGGGAGAGAGAGGCCTGTGACCCTCTTTGCCAGAGCTCCACTGTATTTGCTTGCGGATATGTTTTCTTTTCTCCAGTGATTCGGAGCCCAGTCCGCGGTGCTTCAGTTTTCCTCAGGACAGGCAAGTCTGTCTCCCCGGGGAAGAGCGCGAAGCCTGCGGGAAGACTGCTTTCTGCTTTCGCCCAAACTCCCCGCTGGCCCCTCGGTGTGGACTGGATCACTAGGGACTCTGGGATCTCCACGGGCTGAGGGAGGAGGGAAGTGTGAGGACGAAAACCTGGGGAGAAGGGAGCCTGCTCTTCCCCGCCCCCCCGCCCCGGGAGCGGAGGCCTGTTAATATAGCCCGGGGCCTCGCGCTAACTCTTGGCGGCTGTGGGCGACGGCGGGAGGCAGATAACCGTGGTGTTTTTGTTTTTGTTTGCTTTATTCCATTGTAATGGGGGAAGCTACCCCATTTTGAGATGCCTGTTGCCACAACTGGGGCTGGGGTTGGATTGATTTCCGGGTTATATCCGAGTAACTAGGCCAGCGTTGAGTTGTTGGTTTAGATTAAAGGGTTGGATTCCACCAAATCTCATTCTCAGAGCTTCACAGAATCACAAAATATTAGAACTGGAAAATACGTTAGAATAGTGTTTCTTTTGGAACACATAGGCTATGGTTAAGGTTATTACTGGCTTTCTAATCAGTTGCATTGCTATTTCAACCATCCCTCCATCCCCAGATTGAGTTTACAATTTTTTTTCACTTTTGCAAAGTGATACCAGTGTATATCATTTACCCCCCCTTCTCTTTTCAGTTATTTCTTTAGTGTATATTTCTGGGAATGAGAAATCTATGGACTCTTTTCAGAAGAATGCAGTCATGCCCAGAAACTTCCACATGCAATAACAAGAGATCACAGTTGCTGAATTATATCTATGTATCTTAGGTTAAGAAAAGGTGGTTTAGAAGGGTGGGGGGATTAAAGTAGATCACTTCTGTTTTAGATCCTGGAGTTTTTCGCACATTTCTGTAAGAGGGAGAAACAGGCTCCCAGCTGAGCGAGGAGCCAGATGTGGGGCTCCATCCCTGAGCCCTGGGATCATGGCCTGAGCTGAAGGCAGACTCTTAACCAGCTGAGCCACCCAGGTGCCCCTCTACTTTATTGTTTTTTAAAGATTTTATTTATTAGAGAGTGAGCACTAGCGGGGGGAGAGGCAGAGAGACAAGCAGGCTCCCTGCTGAGCCGGGAGCCCATGCGGGGCTTGATCCCAGGATTCTGAGATCTTGACCTGTGGAGAAGTGAGAAGTTTTGTTTTTTTTTTACGATTTTATTTATTTATTTGACAGAGAGAGACACAGCGAGAGAGGGAACACAAGCAGGGGGAGTGGGAGAGGGAGAAGCAGGCTTCCCGCGGAGCAGGGGAGCCCGATGCAGGGCTCGATCCCAGACCCTCGGATCATGACCTGAGCCGAAGGCAGATGCTTAACGACTGAGCCACCCAGGCGCCCCCCCCCCACACTGATCTTTAAATTAGAATTATTGGGCACCTACTTAGTGCCAAGGCATTTTCTCCCTCATAACGGTTTTTAAGTTAGGGGTTACTACAGATAAGGATCTTAGTTTAGAGAAGTGATAACATATATGAGCTGTTTTCAGAACCTGGTCTAGAGCTTATACTGTCTAACTTCTAGTCCACAGCTTTGGCACAGCAGGAATACAAATCCACATTTGTCAGATTCCAAGACATGCTGTCAACCACTGTGATTTATAAGACTAGGAAATTCTTTTACTTTCCCATTTGTTTTGCTTAAACACTTGTTCCAATTTTTATTTCCAGACAGCTGTCCTAGTGTTGGATATCTGGTTTTCTTTGGTATTGTTTCAATATTGATTTTCATTTCTGTTGCGGTTAGGAATCTGAAGTAAATAGTAAAGTATGATGTCTTCAGTTTGGTCTGAATATACAATTGGTGGGGTGAAGATTACCTTTCCTTATAAAGCTTACCCATCACAGCTTGCTATGATGAATTCTGTAAGTATTTTTCAATAGTTATTTTAAATCTTTATTAAGATGCAGGTGCTTTATAATTCATGAGACTGCATTCATTTTTCCAGATAGTAAATGGATTGAAAATATTTGCCGGGTTCATTGAAGAACATCTAAACTTGGAAAAATAATACTGATCACTGCTAAACTGTATCTGTCCATTGTTATAATGGAGACAAAGGAGAACATTCTGAAAAATGTTCTCATCTCAGTTGGAACTTCTATTTACTTTGCAGAATTAGTGCTTTCTACAAAATATTTGCTGTACATTACACAGAACAGTATATTTCTCACCATAATTTTTTGAGATCGTTGTCACATAGAAAATTAATATACAAACTTAAGTAAACCAACTTTCCAACTTTGTTAAATATGAATATTTTACCATATTTACTTTATATCTTGTTTGTGAGCAAGAGTATTTCACATATTTTAAATGTTGCATAATGATATGATACTATACCTACCTGCAGAAGTTGACTTTTTTTCACTTAAAAATTTTAAGAGGTCTGTTGATTGTTAATCCATTTTACTTGCTGTATAGTATTCCATTATATGAATGTACCAGAATTTTTTTGTCCATTTTCTTTTGATAGACTTTTAAGTAGTTTACATTCTTTAGCAATTATAAACAGTGCTGCTATGGACTTTCTTATACAGGTTTCCTTGTGTTCATGTGGGAAAAGTTTGGAGTATATACATAGGACTGGACTTGTTAGAGTTGGGGATCTTCACCTTACCTAGGAATTGTTAATTTCTTTTTTTTTTTTTTTTAAAGATTTTATTTATTTATTTGAGAGAGAGAGAGAATGAGAGAGAGAGCACATGAGAGGGGGGAGGGTCAGAGGGAGAAGCAGACTCCCTGCCGAGCAGGGAGCCCGATGCGGGACTCCATCCAGTGACTCCAGGATCATGACCTGAGCCGAAGGCAGTCGCTTAACCAACTGAGCCACCCAGGCGCCCTAGGAATTGTTAATTTCTGTACAGAGTGGTTTTAACAGTTTACACTCCAACGAGCAGTATCCTCCGTTAAGTTTTCATCAAAGATATTCATGTGGCTATATTCTAGTTTTACAGAAATGATTAAGGCACAAATTACTTTTTTTCATTTCTTTTTTGCTTGATATGCTTTTAAGGCCATAATAATTTTAGGGAGGGGTATAAAGGAATAAAGTTTAGGTTTAGCTAAATACTGGTTCTCCCTTCTGCTATTGCTGTGCTCCTGGAAGTGCAACCTTACTTCTCATTCTCTTTGTACTTCTGTTGGAGAGAGACCCTAATGAAGTAAATTGTTTATTGATATTTTTATTGTTTTTGTGTCCATAGATTGTCAGAGGATTAAATAGTAAGCAACATTGTTTGTTGGAGAGCCCTACAGGAAGTGGGAAAAGCTTAGCCTTACTTTGTTCTGCTTTAGCATGGCAACAGTCTCTTAGTGGTAAGTAGTTGGTTGATACCTTCAGGTTCCTTAGTGGGACCAGAAAAAAATATTTTAATAAACTACTTTTTATCCAAAATGACTCAACCATGTTCTAGCTAGCTAATTTAAGTACAGATTCTCTTTTAAGGTATTCCTTTATAAGTTGTATATCTTTTTTATTTTATATTATTTTATTTATTTATTTGAGAGAGAGTGAGTGAGCAAGGGAGCAGGGAGAAGAGCAGAGGGAGAGGGAGAAAAACTCCCCGCTTGAACAGGGAGCCCGATGCGGGCCTTGATCTCAGGACCCTGAGTTCATGACCTGAGCAGAAGGCAGATGCTTAACCAACTGAGCGATCCAGTTGCCCCAAGTTACAGAGCAAAATATGTTGTTAATTCTAAAACAGTTTTGAACATGATATAGTCCTTTATTTGATGATTCAGAGTCTAATAAGAATCTTGAATGCTTAGTTATTATGAAAATGATTATGATATTTTGTATGTAAAAGATGCAAGAGATGGGCCTGTCATGATGCTATAACATACACAAATAATTGCTTTGAATAAATCCTTTAATATATTTCCTTATCTGTCCCTTCTTTATAACATCAGACCATAGAATATATAAAGAAAATATTCTAATTGATTTTTCTACTTGTTTGGATGCCGGATAAGGAAAAGTTTATTATAATATTGTTTTCATAAATACATATTATTTTCTATTACTTTTACTTTGTTTGCTAACAAAGGCCTAGTAACATTCACTTTTATGAAAGACTAGCTAACATACCTAATGAATCTGAAATACAGTATTGGATATATTTTAGTTACATAATTAGATGGATTTGACCTAAAGTATTAGAATTTAAAGTTAACTGTGAGTGTATGTAGGTATGTACCTATGTATTTTTATGTGTGTGTGTGTATATATATATATGTTTTTTAAAAGGAAATGTGCTACTGACAAGACTATTAAAAAGTAAATATTTTATAACTTTTGTTCATTTTGATTGTTAATGATGTTACTCTTTGGGGAAAAGTGAGATAATCTGTTAATAACAACATTTTAATGGGAGACTGAAAAATAGAATTAGTAGTATTTATGTAGTACAGATGGGAAAATAATGTCAATACTGTTCATAGAAAATAGATTATTCACTTTTTTTAGTATCTGTGAACTGTGTATTTATACATGTAGGCCATTGCTTCTTGGCCTTTTGGCTAAGATCAAGTGTAGTGTACATGTAGGCACACATTGTAGACCTCTATTAAAATTATGTATTCTATTTAAGTATTAAAAATTATCTGTTTTATTTGAATATTGACCTTAAAATATATTTTGATACGTGTATCAGAACTGATAAATCATGAAACATGTTTCTATTTGAAATAGATACATAAAGTGGGAATGATTTAACCCTTATATATTTACATTATTTAATGTATTGAGCTTTGTTTCTTCAGGAAAATAGTAGTAATTAAGAATATACTTTAGGTCTTTATTTTAATCTTCCCTGCTTGATATTTTAATAAAAATATAAATGAATACCCGAGTGGTTAACATTATTATTCTTTGACTATTATCAGATTTTTACAAATTATGTAAATTGATGATAACTTCTCTATAAGTGTTTCTGGTATAAGTGTTTCTCTCTTGTAATTTGATGCTGGAGATAGGGTGACCGACTTGCTTATATCTGCCAGGTACTTTTCCAGTTTTAGCGCTGAAAATCTTGTATCTTAGGAAACCTCCCAATCTCGTGCAAACTGGGTGGTCACTCACCGTAGTTGCAGAGGAAGATTAATGTTTTTTAAAGAGAAATATTACAACTTGGGTTCTTTCATTTTTTTTAGGGAAGCCAGTGGATGAAAGCTTAGATAAAAAAGCTGAAGTACCATCATCATGTTGTTGTGTATGCCATTCAAAGAATTTTACAAACATTGACTTGAGCCAAGGAACTTCACATCATTTCAACAGTCCAAGTACACCACCTTCTGAAAGAAATGACACTTCATCAACTTGTCAAGGTATTTATATTTTTCCTGGCTCTGTTGGTATCTGTATTAGCCTTAATTATTGCTGTTGTGAGACTTAAATTTGTTTAGCATAATTGACTATTTATCTCCACCTAATTTCTCTGGAATTACTTTTAGATAACACATAGGATAGTCAGATATCCTTGGACTGCTTTATTGGCTTGACTTTTAATTTATTCAGACACTTTGCTAGCTTAAATCATTTTTGAAGAAGGCAATGCACAATAAATGATATTTAGAAATTGATCTTATTTGTAGGCAGTATTGTTAATTATATGTTAGAATTTTTGGGGCGCCTGAATGGCTTAGTCAGTTGGGCATCCAACTCTTGGTTTCCACTCAGCTGGTGATCTCGGGGTTGTGGGATTGAGCCCCTGGTTGGGCTCTGCACTAGGTGGGGGGACTGCTAGCTGGGGAGACTGCTTGGAATTCGCTCTTTCCTTTCCCTCTGTTCCTCCCTCCATTTGCATGCACCCGTGCCTCCCTCTCTCTCTCAAATAAATAAATAAAATCTTAAAAAAAAATTATGTTAGAATTTAAAAACACACTGATTTTTTTTTTTTAAGATTTTATTTATTTATTTGACAGAGAGAGACACAGTGAGAGAGGGAGCACAAGCAGGGGGAGTGGGAGAGGGAGAAGCAGGCTTCCCGCAGAGCAGGGAGCCCGATGAGGGGCTCGATCCCAGGACCCTGGGATCATGACCTGAGCCGAAGGCAGACGCTTAACGACTGAGCCACCCAGGTGCCCCTAAAAAAACACTGATTTATAAGACAAAATGCAATTAGCCTCATTTATTCATCCTTATGAGTTTGCCTGAACTTCTGAGGACAGTATATCTTATATGGGGCTTTTTTTTTTTTAACATACATTAGTTTTTTTAATTGAAGTATAGTTGACATACTGTATTACATACATTAGTTTCAGGTGTACAACATAGTGATTCAACAAGTCTAGGTGTTATTCTGTGCTCACCACAAGTGTGTCTACCATCCATCACCTTATGCTATTACAGTGCCATTGACTGTATTCCCTATGCTGTACATTTTATCCCTGTGACTTATTTATTCTGTAACTGGAAGCATGTATCTTCCATTTCTTTCTGGCAACCATCACTTTGTTCTCTGTATTTATGGGTCTATTTCTGCTTTTTGTTTGTTTATTCATTTGTTTTTTAGATTCCCCACGTAAGTGAAATCACATGGTATTTGTCTTTCTCTGACTTACTTAACTTAGCATAATACCCCCTAGGTCCATCCATGTTGTCACAAATGCCAATATTTCATCCTTTTTTATGGCTGAGTAGAGAATCAGGTATGTTTTAAATATGATCCTTAAACAGTTCTTACTAGATTTTTTAAAGAGAAGTATACTAAAAATATCACAAGATTATTAATTTTTAAAAATATTTCTCTGGCTTTGAGTATATGGAAAGGATTAACAACCATTATTTACCTAAGCCAAAAACTGAGGAGACATCCTGTACACTTTGTTCTTCCTTATTTCTCCATGCAAACCTCTATCTCCATTGATACCTCCTTAGTCCAAAGTGCCATCTCTTGGTTAGAGCATGTAATAACTTCTTTTCCTGCTTTTACTCATGCCATCCTTTAATCACTGGCAGGAAGAAAAGAGGTTGCCATGATTGACTTAAGTCTAAAGAGTATCCACTTCTTTTTTTTTTTGATTTTATTTATTTATTTGGTTGGGGGGAGAGAGACAGAGGGAAGAGCGGAGGGAGAGGGAGAAAATCTCAAGCAGACTCCTGATGAGCACGGAGCCCCATGTGGGGCTCCATCTCATGACCCTGAGATCACGACCCGAGCCGAAATCAAAAGTCAGGCACTTAACCAACTGAGCCACCCTGGTGCCCCTAAATAGTGCCCCACTTCTAAAACGAAGGATGGAGTTATCTTCTTCTAAAACACATGACCATGTGTGGAGGAGGGTAGCTGCTTGAACTAAAGTATGATTCTGTTAGGAATGAGGAAGAGGTGGTTGAATACTTGCTGGAGAGGTGACCAATAGTGTTGTCTATACTGTTTCGACGCTTAGCCCTTTTGGCTTTCTTTCCGTTCCTTAAGAGGATCATGCTTTCGCCTGCCTCAGAGCCTTTGTTTATGTTAGTTTTCTTCTGAGGAAAGGCCCATCTTCCATTTGTTATCCTGCATTTCCTTTAGGTCTCAGCTTAAATGTCATTTCCTTGAAGGAGCCATACTGACCTTTCTGTCAGATTAGATTTGGTTTCCCTATTATATTCTGTCCTCTCACTGTGCCTCTCCTTCATAGCACTTGTCACAGTTTGTATTATCCATATGCCTGTGTATCATTTATCAAGCTCTGCTTCCTGTAGCAGACTATATACTCCTTGAGGTCAGGGACCATGTCAGTTTGCTTATCGTTGTATTTTTATTTTTTTTAAAGATTTTATTTATTCATTTGAGACACAGAGATAGAGAGAGAGAGAGAGCATGAGGAGGGGGAGAGGCAGAGGGAGAGGGAGAAGCAGGCTCCCTGCTGAGCCAGGAGCCCGATGTGGGGCTCGATCCCAGGACCCTGGGATCATGACCTTTGCTGAAGGCAGACGCTTAACCATCTGGGCCACCCAGGCGCCCCTTATCATTGTATTTTTAGTACCTAGCAGAGTGCCTGGCATATGGTAGGTGCTAGATAAATATTTGTTGTATGAATGAATGGAACTGACTTTGAGATAATTAAAGGAATTCTGGTTTATGTTTATATACAAACTGTTTTTTTTTAAGATTTTATTTATTTGAAAGAGAGAGAGAGCACAAGCAGGGGGAGCTGCAGAGGGAGAGGGAGAAGCAGGCTCACCACCAAGCAGGCACCCCAACTGGGGGTCTGATCCCAGGACTCTGGGATCATGACCCGAGCCAAAGGCAGACGCTTAACTGACTAAGCCACCCGGGTGCCCCTACAACCTGTATTTTTTTTTTCTAAAACAGCCTTATTGAAATATACTTGACATAACTATACATATAAATGGTACACTTTGATAAGTTTTGACATAGGTGTACCTCCATTAAAGCATCAAGATAGTGAACATGTCCATCACTTTCAAAAGTTTTCTGTTGCCCCTTTGTTATCCCTCCTTCCCAAGCCTCCATGACTCACTCTTTCCAAACAACCACTGATTTGCTTTAGATTAGTTTGCATTTTTTTAAGAGTTTATTTACATGGAATCGTAGTTTGTACACTTATTTGTCTAGCTTCTTTCACTTAACATAATTCTTTTGTTGTGTTTGTTGTGAAACATAATTCTTTTGAAATTTATCCATGTTGCATGTATCGACAGTTTGCAGTTTGTTAATTTTTATTGTTGAATAATATTCTATCGTATGGATATACTACAAATTGTTTATCCAGTCACCAACTGATGTTTATTTGAATTGTTTCTAGTTTTAAGCTATTACATATAAAGCTACTGTGAATATCTCTGTATGAGTCTTTGTGATGGACATATGCTTTCATTTTTTTAGAGTAAATACTAGAAATAACTAGATCACTTATGTTTAACTTTGTAAGAAACTTCCAAACTGTTTCCCAAAGTGGTTTTACCATCTTACATTACCACCAGCAATGATGGTTGGGAGTTCCCATTTCTTTATATCCTTGTCAGTACTTTGTATGGTCAGTCTTTTTTACCATTCTAATAGGTATGTAGTGGTATCTCATTGTGGTTTTAATATGCATTTCCCTAGTCACTTATGACAGTTTAGCATCTTTTCATGTGCTTATTAGCCATCTGTATCTTTGATGAAGTGTCTGTTCAAATCTTCTGCTTGTTTTTTGTTTTTTTTTCTTCCTGTTAAGTTTTGAGAGTTCTTTATATATTTTGAGTACAAATTTTTTTTTATCAAATATGATTTTAGCTTTTACTTTTAGTTTGAGATCTATTTCAAGTTAATTTTGTAGATCGGGTGAGGTATAGATCCGAGTTCATTTATTTTGCATATGGATATTTAATTGTTTGGCACCATTTATTGAAAAAGCTATTTTATCCACTGCTTTGCCTTTGTGCCTTTGTAAAAAATCAGTTGTCAATATATATGCAACCTGCATTTTAATGTGACTGTGAGTTGAAGTTGTTTAGAATAGTCTCTTGAAGAATCAGATGGAATCAGGGTTTATTTTGATACTCTGTATTTTTAAGTAAGTTCTTTAATATGATATAACCTAAATACAGAAAAGTTCAGGGATTGTAAGTGTATAAGCTTGATGAATTTTCACAAAGTAGTCATGTAACTACCACCTAGATGAAAAACATGGGACATAACCTATACCTTAGTAGAGGCCCTCCCTAATTGCTATCCTCCCATCACCATTGATGATTTTTACATCCAAAGAAATGGAATTACATGTGTACTCTTGCACATTGTGCTGCCTGTCTGCTTTTGCTTAACATTGTATTTCTGAGATTCATTGGTGTTGTTGCATATAGTACTAGTTTTTGTATATTATTTCTACCATTTATTAATCTGCTCTACAGCTGTTAGGCATTTGAGTGGTTTTTATTTTTGGTTATTAATGCTATTATCAACATTCTTTTTTGGGGGGATTATAGAGATTTTATTTTTTTATTATTTATTTTTTTAATTTTTTAAATTTATTGTTATGTTAATCACCATACATTACATCATTAGTTTTTCATGTAGTGTTCCATGATTCATTGTTTGTGTATAACACCCAGTGCTCCATGCAGAACGTGCCCTCTTTAATACCCATCACCAGGCTAACCCATCCCCCCACCCCCCTCCCCTCTAGAACCCTCAGTTTCTCAGAGTCCATAGTCTCTTACAGTCCATAGTCTTCCCCTCCGATTTCCCCCCCTTCATTCTTCCCCTCCTGCTATCTTCTTTTTTTTTTTTTTTTTTAACATATAATGTATTTGTTTCAGAGGTACAGGTCTGTGATTCAACAGTCATATTATCAACATTCTGGTTCATTCTAGTGCAAATGGATATCTTTTA